TACAAACAAACATTTCCTTGTCGTAAGATCTACCTTGCCTACGCATACATTAAAGATTTCATTGCTTCGAAAAATCAAAGTTCAAACTTTATCAATGTAAAAATTGATTGATCTTGTATAATAAATATATATCTATATTTATCTTCGTGGAATTACTGTAGTAAATGAATGTACGCGTGATCTAGTTAATCGTTTTTTTTCTTGAGAATTTTAAATTTTTTTTGGCGGATACGTTACACTATAATTTATACATACGTATAAAATTTCTTGAAACTTCTTGACGAAAGTAAATGAGATAAACCTTCGATCAGTCGGAATATCCTAAGTATCATGAAGATTCTCGTGTAATGTCATTATCACGTGTTACCGCATTCTTATTTATATACGTTAATAAAGGGAATGCATTGGTGGAACGAAAGCCTATACCTTTTTCAAATACATAAATTAAGTCTTGTATTTTTTTGTTGGAAAATTTTATCAATGAGTGAAAATTTAGAGTCAATCCCATATCTTCGTCGTAGCGTACAAGAGGCATGTTCAAATGAAGGAAGTGAGCACGGTGAATCTAGCTTTATGAATTACGACGTTCAAAAATAACTTATCTGTTATGATCATTTTCAATTTACGATCTTTCACATACTATTCTGAATCGTTCATAATCGATTCTATAGAATTAGACTGCGGTTATTCACAGCTAGCTCCTAATGTAGAAAAAATATTACCTGACGCTACCCCTATGGAGGATAAAATGTGTCGTATATGCTTTGCCGGTCCTGAAGAAGAAGAAAGTCTCGGTCGTCTTATTTCTCCGTGTTTATGTAAAGGGACTATGAGGGTCAGTTTCATTATTTTCGGTAACGTCTCTATTATTGTCTCTTTTATTGTCTCTTTTATATTAACAAGCTGTTTGAATTCTCATAGTACGTCCACGTGGAATGTTTAAATCATTGGCGGCTACGAAGTCAGAAGAAGTCGAGTTTTTTTCAATGTGACGAATGTAAATATAAATATGCTTTTCGAAGAACAACAATTGCAAAATTCGCTACTAATGAATGTAAGTTTTTTATCTTTGTATTATTCAATTTCTTTTTTTTAAAAAAAATTAATTTACTGATTAATTATTGAACGATTTCGTTATACGTAATTAGTTATTCTTACATTTGTCACTTTAACATTGTTCGCTTTTTGTGTATTTATTGGTGGTTTTCTTGCAAAATTTCTTCTTTACCTTTACCCTGTTGCCGATTTTGGCGAGGATTACATTGCTGATGAATTCAGATATGCTCCATTATTTCGTGAACCTATGGAATTCTCAAAAATATTCAGAATTGACTACGTTCACATATTATTAGGATTCATGTTTGT